TTGTTGTTATGCTCATGCCTCGAACTACTGAATGATACTTTCCTACAGTTTCCTATGGCACTAATCTTCACTGGACAACTCACACCGCCACAGTAGAAATTTTTATTTGCAATTATTATCTGTTGATTTCAGAATTTATTTTCCTTTGTATTTGCACATGCTGTTTTATCGTTAGTTTCTGTTCTGAACACTCTCTGCTGTTATCATTCGTCGTTCGATAAATGCTGATTATTTTTGAAGTGTTTAAGCAGGATAAATTGAGCACGTTTATGTTTCTGTAGGATTTGTTCATTTTTAGCTGACTCTCGGTTTTTGCTCATCAAAGCGCGTTAAATTTCCGCGTCACTTCAACGACGATTTTCACAGCAGCATTCGTTTCGAGGAAAGATTCGCACCGTTTCTGCAGATGATTGCTCCACGTACCATTGATTACGCCCAGTATTTGGAAGTGAGCAGGTATCCAGATTAATGTTGTATTCTTTGAGACAAGGTTCGCTATGAAATATTTAAAATTTTCTGTAGCCTTTTTAAACACGTTCTGAACTGCTTCCACATTGACACTAACTGTGCGCTTAATGCCGATCCATTCCTGCAACTTAGCAATGTTACTGTTATTTTGTTTAAGCTTTATCTGTTTCTTTTCGCCTATGCAAATAGTTGCGGTTTTCTTGCTCTTGAAACTAAGTGATGCTCGAATGAATTATGTATGAATAATTAAATAATATATTTAGTCTATTTACAGATTCAAGGAAATTATTTCCACCGTCCATTCGTCTAAACTATTTGCGGACTCCTCCTACGAATTCAACAGAGCATCGATATTGCTAAAGGAGCTGCCGTACAACACTGACAAAATGGTTCGTAGTTACCTTCCATTTTGTACCTTTGCTTGGCGACTATTTAAATATAGTTTTCCTTGCCAGTTTAAATTTTTGATCCACTTTCGAACCATAAAGGCTGTTGCTACTTCGACGCTCTGAAATACAATATAGTTTCTTTGAGATTTCA